GAATACCGCGTTTACTCCACTTTACATGCATCTATCTATTCTCTGTATATTGAATAAATTGATTCCTGTACATTTGTTTAATTTGTAACATGTATGAAGTTTTTCATTTTCTAGTATTATTAAGGCGATAAATTTTTTAAAATCATATAAAAATTAGCCTTCACCAGGCATGCAAAATATAAAAACAATATTTTACAATGCCAAGTCATTCCGCTAGTACATATTATGGTTATAATTAGAGCGAGGGGTACGTAGTATAATATGAATGCTGCTAGCATGGCCGAAATGTTCCGATATTCCGCAATATTCCGAAATCAAGAGAAAGTTATTTTGGGAATCTGTGATTTGCCCATCACTAGCTTTAATGAAACTTTCTATACAGCTTTTTAATTTCACTATGATTAGTTTTCGTTTTTAAAAAAGTACTCTAACCTGTATAAATAATGTAGCAGACGAAATTCTGCCTATGAGATTCAGTCTTGTGATTAGGATGAAAAAAAAGGCCGGAAATGTGAAGCCTATTGTTCGGTTCGGAAGATTGCGACTCTGTCGTTCCACAATTCAAAATGTCGCGTAACGTACGATAGGTAACCTTTCGAAAGAGGGCGTTAGATTTGGCTGGCGGGTGATTAAGGCTTTCGGTTACTTTGGGTCAACGAAGACAAGTGAGGTAAGTCACGTGCTCAAGAACTTGAACGAACAACGATGGTTATTGGGGTTTACAAGGTTTATACCGGGTATAGAGTTAGGGTTTTATCAACGTATTGGGACTTGTTTATTTAATAAAGCAAACGAAGCATACTGCTCCTAAGGGCCATTTCGGCCTTTATTTATAATACTAAACTCGTCGCTTACAAATGCGAATTTGCACTTATTATTACTTTAGGGCAACTAAATGTTATTTACACTGATCTATGTAATATCTTTAAGGATGCGTAATTTATCCTTACATCCTCCCTTCTGGATCCAAAATACCTTTTCAGATCACAAATGTAACTTATTGCATTTCGTGTATTTTTCACGTGATCGGTCACGATATCCAGTATCACACTATAAAAACAGTGTTACACGATTGTGCTTACAGCTATTATCATAATTCCTGGGATACCTGTAAAAATTGGCGAACGATTTTTTGGCCGATTCGGTTAAGTTTATGATTTCGGGAATAAAATTGCACGTACAGTACATTAAATAGGCACTGACACATGATTATTACAGAAGCTTTGCCGGAATTACTAGACATCCATCATGGAACTATAATTTTATATTTATTTATGTTCCAGATTTACGAAAGTTTGGCCAACGTTATTCACATAACAAAAATTACATGTAATATATGGAAGATATATGTTACATACATATAATACTTGTTCTACGGATAATTTTATCTTTATAAATATCGACACATTCAATGGTATTAAATTTTCGGTTGATACTTGCACATGCTTAGTGTGTTTAGTTTGTGCAAAAACTTATGAAAAAGGCTGTTTTTGTCAACCAATAAAAGTTAGAAATGGTCAAGAATTTGTTGACTGGTTTAGAGATGTGACTTAAGATTCTGTTTAAAGAATCATGATTTTATTAACATTGGTCGAAAATGCGTTGCAGAAGTTTTTCAATACCGTAGTGCACTGACTAAAAGACCTTCCTTATAAAATACGACCGGGGTAAAATCGGCTTAAACAAATTTCGAAAATTATGTGATATTGTCAATTCATCATGATTAGATTATGATAATAATATTTATTAAATAATAACTTAATTTTTTGGTAATTTATTTTTTACTTCAATTCTTTAAAGTGAGAAGCAATCGTTAAAAGCATAAAATCCAATAAAACACTATTTTAAAAATATATGCTGATTACCGTAGCCAAATTTTCATTAACAATAAACGAAAAAAGAATGAAAATCGAATAAAATTATAAAAATTAATCAGGAAATGCAATTAAACCAGAAAATCTTGTAGGTTTTATTTTTAAGCTCTTCCGGAAGATATAATTCTGATTATTGATTTGAATTCAAAACGCGACAATGAAAAATTATTGAAGAAAACAAATAGTAATAAATGGCTCGATAGTATTAATAAAAACTTTGTGTCATTGCATAATTGAAAGAATATAATCGTTTTAAAAGGCAATAAAATATTCCTAACATTTAAAAACTGTAATAATAATACTTTCTAGCTATAATAAATATTACGTTTATAGAGTTTTTCGAAATAAATAAAATGATTAATTTATTACTTATATCGTTATTATTTTGTTAGTCTAAATTTGATTGTATATTTTTTTGTTAAAAAGTTACATGAATTTTTGGTGCTCGATATATTTGTCACGTGGTGGTTGAAACTTTTTTGGGTGGCGATTTTACCCCGGTTTAAAATACCAGGGTATAATATATGGTGTAAAATTATGTAATTCTGGTAAAATCCAAAATTTGACCCAGTAACAGTCAAACTACTCCCGGGTATTTTATAATTTTTTTTCGGGTATTTTTATATTAGACTCCGGGTCTTTTAGTCAGTGCGCTACAGTACAATCATATCTTCGAAAATGCTTGAGAACTTGACTTATAAAATAAATGATAAGCTTTCTGATTTTTGTTCAATTATTTGCCGGCGAAGGTGCTTTGAAATCGACCGAAATATCATTCGGCCAATTTTAACAGGTGTCCCAGGAATTATGATAATAGCCGTAAGCATCAATTGTGAAACACTGTTTTTATAAGCTTCAAATTTCCGAAATTAACTGGCTTTTTTTCGCCTTTGACACTTTTAAACAATTTTGAGATTTTTGATTCAAATTAAAGTGCCGGTTTCTATCTATATTTATTTCATTTTTTTACCTTACGTTGTTATAATAATTTATCCAGTTATTTGAATTTTTAATTTTTTAACGTTCGTGTTATATAGATTGATGACTCAAATAAATTAGATTGGTCAATCAGTGTATTATAAGGGATAAAGTTTAGGTTTCACAGACAAATAGCCATTTTATCAAATGGATAACCCTAGTGTAACTTCACGTGCATCAATTTTTTTTTTAGCCAATAAATTTGTTACGCATCCAAAATCCGAATTTCGGCAAAAAAAAATAGATGTACGTGATGTTACAAGAAACCGATGACACAAACCATTTCCCTCTCTCCAAATTTTAAATTTTATAATCAATTTGATTGGTTGATTTTATACGCATAATCTGGTCAAAAATAATGAGTTCCTTTATGTATATAAATATATATTAGGCTCCAGTTTTCAATTTATTAGTAACCTTTAAATTGATATAACTTCTTTAAAATTAAGATAAAGTAAAAATCTTTTCTAGCCAAATTGTAGCTTAGACTTAAAGCTACAAATTAGGGGTCTGCAAATGCCCATGCCTGGCACATTGGCACCAGGCCGGGCATTAGTGCCTTATGCCATGCCTGTGCCCATAGGCACAAAAATGCCAGGCACTATTAAAGGCATAGGCACAAAATGCTGGGCACAAGGTGTCAGGCACAAGTGTCAGGCAAAGTGCCAGGCACAATTAAATAATAAATATCCAATTTCTGTGCCTGTGCCCATGCCTATGCCGAGTTTTTTGTGCATGTGCCCATGCCCATGCCTGAGTTTTGTGTCCATGCCCATGCCTAGATTTTTTGTTGGGCACAGGGATGAGCCCGGGTTGCAGACCCCTACTACAAATTAGCAAAAAATTTTGGCTAAATTTTTAATTTTATTTTAATTTTATTTTTAAGTTATATCAATTTTTGTGTTGGTTTATGGTGTCCCGCACTGCATAAACACTTAAACTAGCTCGAATTCTAGAGGTTTTAACAATTTATCAATGAACTTTAAAATCTTCCTGATCTTTCATTGCGATATTACGATGGCAATATGCCAAATGTTGCGGCAAGTGTTGTAATCATGTTGACCTATAAATGAAAATCAAGGTCAAAAATTTTTACATATTCTATATGATACACGCCGTTAGCATTCCACTATCGAAATGACATAAATGGATAATTCACAAAGACAATCCCGAAAATCCCCGTAAAAGCAGAAAAGGAGAGATCTACGATCACAAATACAAGAGTTAACCGTACTGTTTGAGTACAGTATAATAATAATTTGTGCTCCGTCTTCAAATCATGTCTTCTTATTAAACACAATCAAACTTTTCCGATTTGTACATACAGACAGCTATGCATAAATGAATTAGTTTAGTACAGCCTAACCTCGATATAGTAACTCTTAATATAGTCGCAAATTATATAACAGTTACATTTTTTGGTTTACCAATGATTGTGAACATAAGAAATTAACCTCTATATAGGCACTAACACCTTAGTCACATTGAATTTTGGTTACCAACCCGTGATTATATCGAGGTTAGACTTCATTATATAATCGCGGGCGATCTCTTTAAGGATCGATCATTTTAGCATTTATGCTACGTTACTAAATTGCTTTGCTTACTAATATTTTACCATAAATCGGATCCTCGATCCGGTTATCTAATCTTGAATGCGTATATATTTACCTGACATTGGACAGATTTAGACAAATAATAACAAATAATTACAATAGTAAACACCATAATAATGTTGTAGAACCATACTTTAAATTACCTAAAATTACTAACTAATGCATGCGATGGATCTAGTTTTAGAAGCTGATTTTATTCCGGTGCAACTTCAGGTGTTTGAGGTTGCAAATTTAAGTAAGGTGTCAACTTAAAGCACAAAAATCGTGTCAATAAATAATTCGATGGCATTTATATACTGTACGTACAACTGTGAAATTACCATAGGCATTTCCATTTTGGTAGAATAAACGACATTTTGGTTTCCAAGTAAAAATGCTCTTTACTCCAAAACCATTTCTCTCAATTTTAATACAAAGTCCCAATTTATAAAACCCTAACTTTATAGCACAAGTAAACAATTATATCTGATATATATGGTGTTGAAACCATAGGTTCATTTGATATTAATTGTTTTTAGCTACCTCCGACCACATGGCTTCGCCAACAGCATGGAACATTGATAATATACACTCCTTTTTAACTGTGAATTCAAGCGGACTTAGAGTAAATTATACAGGTATGTCTGACCTTTTCCCGAAGTTCACTTCTCTAATAACGCTTTTATCGGTATAAATTCTTTAGCAGCCATTCTACAATAGTGATAGTTTATTTGGCATTATAGCTCCATTAGATGAAAGTATTCTATTTGTAATTTTTTATAATACGAACCTAATTTTAGTAAAAATGCCTTGCCTGTAACGTAGTTATCAATGAAAATACATATATATCATATAAATTTCATATATTAAGCCACGCAAAGTTAATTGTTCGATTTGCATAACATTGGATCTGAAAAATTGGGTCGGTCGGTCGGATTCTTTTTTTTTGCTGCTAGCCATGTTGGGTGATTCTGGGAGATCGGGTGAAACCGGTTAAATGATTGAAAAAAAATAAATGGCAGAATTTGAATAATTGAAAAAATTGATCGATCGATCAGGTATGCAAAACTAAAAATCAACTTTGCGTGGCCTTAGATATAAAGAAAGTGCTTCATGCATTTGGTGCCTTTGTAATCGATAAGATTTATTATACCTCACTTTGAAATTTTTTTAGAATAATGGTAAAGGTAGTTTATAGTAAATTTGACAAGAAATATTTTTTATTCGTACCCCCGAAGGTGGTTTCATAGTTAAGGCTTTGAGATATAGAAAAGGTGCATCAAATACATGGGCATCATTTCAAATGTCCTGTTCGAAGTCAGTCCTTGAACTGACTTGCAAGACTTTTTATGTCGACAATTTTATATGACAAAATGAGTCTAGTTCCAATAAAGGTGAACACAACTCGATCCGAGTTGACTCAAATTAAGCCTTGGGCAAGTATGCTCTGAGTGAGCTGAGTCGACATACTCCCCAAGAATTTTTAATAAGATTAAACATAAGTCGATTCGATTCACTCGAAAGCATGAACTAAGTAGAATAGATTCAAATCGAGTCATAGAATGAAAACCTGTAATTGTCCTCAATGCATTATTATGATCAGTTATAGGTTTTTACCCTGCAACACTGATCTAGAAATATCAATGTGAAATTTAGTATTATATATACATTAAAATCACGTAACTTATAAACTCACTAGAATTTTTACAAACGAATAAGGACCTGGAGAAAATGACTGTGATGTTGCCGCTATACGAACGAATAAGCCAATTCCTCGGCAATGTGAATTGTTTTATTTCGAAATTGACATTATTGATCAAGGAAAATATGCGTAATATATCTAAATATATTTATAATATATCGCAAACCCATTTTGCATAATTTTGTTTATTTTGTTTTATTATTTCAATAGAGTAATCGGAATTGGGTTTTGCACAAAAGAGTTGGACAAAAATGATAATCAATTACCTGGTAATTATAAACTTTCATCGAACATCAATTAATTAAGTACGTTTATTTATATATACTGTAATAATAATTCTTATAGGATATTATGAAGGATCGTGGGGCTATCATGCTGATGACGGCAAAATTTTTTATGAAAAAAGATACAGATCATATGGTCCATTATTTACAACTGGTGATACAATTGGATGCTGTATAAATTTTAAACACAAAACTGCTTTTTATACTAAGAATGGTATTCATTTAGGTAATTATTATTATTTAATCGACAAAATTCGGTATTCTTTTAATAAAATACTGAATATAATACGGTACTTGATTATTTTAAGGAATTGCATTCCAGAATTTGGATGATGATTATTTATATCCTTGTGTCGCAATGAGATCGTGTGGCTGTTCTCTAGAAATAAATTTTACTCATAAAAATTTTGATCTTTTGCAACACTTTCGAAGTATTACTTTCCAATATTTTGAAGGCATTATGTATTCTTGTGTTGGAAAAAGGTTTAAGGACAGCTCTACTAAAATGAATAAACATTCAAATTTACTGGTAATTTTCCATATACTGTATTGTATAATTTAACAGTTTATAATTCTTTTGATTTCTTAACCATTTTCTTTATTACCACTACTTCGTTATTATTTAACAAATAGCAATGACATCTGATGATATTAAACTGAACCATTTAAAAGAAGAATGGATTAGTGCCTTTTCTTTATATAGTGAAGGTTCAATAAATCAACGTATAAAAAAACTTGAAGCATCGTTAAGATCATTAGACATTGAAAAGAAAGATAATATTCATGAATTAGGATATCAAGGAAAAGTATGCTTCATTACAGGCGAATACGAAATGGCACTAAAATATTTTACAGAATTGATAAATAAAGATCCAAATAATAAGTTTGCACTAAAATATCGAGGAGAAATTTATAAGGTAATGAAAAGAAAAGAAGAGTCACTCACAGATTTAAACAAATTATTAGAAATTAAGGCAGATGATGCATGGGCATTAAAAGCCAAAGAAGATATTTCTAAAGAGTGAGTACGACAATGTTATTTACATTTATAAGATACATTAAAAAATTAATTGCAAAACAAAATATCAGTTTCTAATAAAATATGTTCTATTAATTTAGTTAGTATGTATAAAGTTTCTTTAAAATCTCATTCATTAAGGATTTCTGTTAATAAAAACCTATTAATCAATTGCATATTAGTGAGTGAGTATAAATTTCATTTATAATTATTCGTTAAAATCTTTCGTTATGTATGAATTTCTGTTAACCGGCTATTTTTAACAATCACATTTGTCATGTATCAGTGAGTGGGTATAAATTTCAGAATATATATAAAATTTCTTTTGTCAATTAATTGTATTTTTTTTTTTTTTTATCTAATCATATATATTTTCATATAGCATGTGAGTATGAAACATTTTAAAGATTTAGCACAAAATAATTATAATCCTTTTAATCAATCAAACATTATCATTTAGTTCGTAAGTATTAAAACATTCAGTTCTGAATATTTTAAAACAGTGAATAAAATTTGAATTTTTAATAATTTACATGTTATTACATAAACTAGTGAGTAAGTCCATTTTAATAACTTTTAAAAGTTTCGATCAAAGATTAATGCTAAATATTATTTTCAAATTGATCATAACAGTGAGTAAGTTCATTTCTAATAAATTTATGATTTAGTTTTTATTATTATTTATCATTCAAGAATACTACCGATTTTCTAATATATAATAGTCTGTAAGAATAAATTTTATTAATTTTTTGAAATTGCTAAATAATAACTTCCTAACAAAGTTATACAATACATTATAGCCTGTGAGTATAAGTTTTGCTACCATAACTTTTTAAAATCCCTTTTCTTAAGTAGTTGCTACTAGGCGGCAGTCACAATTTACGTTAAACATAGTATTTTTATTGGGATTTCAAAAAAAATACAAACATAATACTACATGGCATTACCTTCAAGGACTAGTTTAACGTAAATTTTGGATACCGCCCTAATAAAAATAAATTTCTAATTAATTATACGTATGCCAGTGAGTGAGTATTTACAATAATTTTTTTAAATCATTATTCTCAAAGAACTCAACATTTTATTCGTTCTATTTTATAGTATGTAAGTATAAAGTTATTAATAATAAATCATGCTTTAATAAATAATAATATGTTTCTAATAAATAATATACTAGCGAGTAAGTATAACTTGATAATTATAATCTTCAAATAATCTTTTGCATTTTCTGTTAAATCACAACGATAATATTCTATATATTACGTACTAGTGAGTAAGTAGTTAATATAACAAATTTTAAATAAATATTACATTTATAAATGTTTAGGTCATACAAATTATTTTTTGATTTTTACTATAGTAATTTTGCAAGTTAATTTTGATTTTTTTTTTAAAAAGATAGATACGTATCCGGGCTATTTTGAAATGTTAATAATATGAAACCAAAAATTGTTTTTGTATGGCCTTATTCCTAAATAATCTAATATTTCTAATTATTTACACCTTATTATGTAGCCTGTAAGTATATTATTTGTAACAATTATCATGGTTATAAGGATTTACTCCTAATAATACACTCTTAATTAACCATAATACTAGTTAGTAAGTATAAGATTATTATTATGCTTTAATATATAAGATTTTTGCAATTAATTTATATACAAATACTAGTGAGTAGGTATAATATTTACAATAAATAAGTTATAAAATTACAACTATAAAAATTTATTAAAGTATTACCATATGCTGTACTAGTTAGTAAGTACAATTTTTTTTAAATGACGAGTGTTTTATAAATATTGATGTCAAATAAGGATTTTAATTAATTAATAACAAATTATTATAGCCTGTGAGTATAAAGTTATCTAGTAATGCCTTTTTTAATATTAACGCATCTATTATTAACAAAGAAGAGTCTTTTCAACCTCATGCTGTCATAGTCTGTGAGTATAAAGTTTATCTATATCATGCAATTTTTTTAAATTTGGCATATTATTAATTACTTTTGTAATTAATTACATAACCTAGTGTGTGAGTATAAATTTAACATTTTCGTTATAAATATTTATAATAATTTCTAATAAATTATATACCAGAGAGTGAGTATAAAACTTAATTATAAATCGTATTTATAATGTTATATTGCTAACTAACGTCATCCAAATATCAGTGAGTGAGTATAGAATTCATTGTAATAGTTTTAAACAATAATAGTTTTCTAATAAATTATATTTTAGTTAGTAAGTATTATATTTTAAATTTAATTTCTTATAAAGATATATATCAATACTAATATTTTCTAAAAAAAAATACAAATCGATATATTAGTGCGTAAGTATAAAGCCTATTTAATGATAGTTATGATAGTGTGTTTTATAATTGTTTATTCTTTTCTTATTATATATTAGCGAGTAAGTATTAAGTTACTTATCATAATTTATAAATTCACATTTACCATAAAATAATATCACCATTATAATTTATTATTCACCAGTTCGTGAGTATAAAATCTATTTTTAAAATTTTTTAAATCCATTCAATAAGAATTTTCACTATGTAACAACGGCGCTTTTATAATGATCCAAACTTTAAGGAAATGTCCAGAATGTCGCAAAGAGAATTGCGTATATTGTGATGTATGCAATCCTAAACATTGGGAAAAGAATTTCAGAAAATGGGAAAGTGGTGACTTTAACATTGATGAAATAATTAAAGATACTCAACTCCATGCAAAAAAACAATGTAAAATAATTGAATGGATAGAATTTTCAAATTTTAAAGAGATTGAATACATTGCTGATGGTGGATATGGAAAAGTCTATAAAGCCATTTGGAAAGATGGTCCAATTGAAAACTATGAGCCTTGGGATACTATAAAAGGGAAATGGAGACGAAAAGCTAACACTACAGTGGCAATAAAAATATTGAAGGTAGCAAATGGTATGACAAGTTTGGAGCTTTCTAATGAGGTAATTCATTTAAATGAAGTTATAGTTGGGAGCCGGCTATAGATCATTAACCAGTTGAAATAGTTATTCTTGATTAAAGATGGGACCGAAACCCAAACCTTCCTAAACCCTTTAGGTTTAGGCTTTAGTTTTGAACATGATATTTTTTGGCTGAAACTCAAATTTTAAACTAAAACTCAAATCCAAAATTATGCCGAAATCTTAAGTTAGCATTAAAACTAATATCAGAATCCCAAATTATATCAACGTGTATAAAATTTTTATATACGCTAATTCATGGAGCCAATGGAGCTCAATGGCTACGTAATCCATAGAACTCCATTGCCAACCCTGAAAAGGGGCACTATGATGCAGATGAGTCATAATCATCCTTTTAACTTTGTATATCTCGAGATTCTGTGTTTATAATTGAACTATTTTTGTAAATCATTTTATTTGGGTTAATGGTTCACGAGTTATACGAAATTTGTTAACTGCGCCATAATAACTCTTTTTATCTTATATTTTTAATATTGAAATTTCAATATTATCTTATTAATTTGGGATTTCGGCACTGGTTTGGGATCTAGCATTTTAGGTTTCGGGAAAATAATGTTGGAATTTTGTCACTGATGTGGGAATTTGGCAACTGTTTGGGTTTCATAACTTATAACCAAAACCCTAAACCTTTCGGTCTGAGAAATAGGTTTCGGACCCAACTTATTCTTGATAATAGCATAAATTATATAATTTTTTTTATCGACGAAGTTTTCAATTCCAATAACTTTGGCGAAATTTATAATACTTGGCCCATATTAATTTCAATTTATTAAGATTTTGGCAGTTTAAAGCTTTAACACTTAGTAAATCCATAACACCAAAGGATAAAACGATTTTTTTTTTGTAGATTAAATGCAACTTGAAACATAATTCTTTATTCATAAACAGAGTTTATGGTGTAACAAAAGAGCCGTCAACACAAGAATACGCGGTTGTTACGCAATTTCAAGAATATGGAAACCTAAGGGATTTAGTACGTAAAAATCATGGTCAATTAAGTTGGAGTAAATGTATCAACATTCTCAGAACAATTTGCAATGGATTATCAGCAATTCATGCACAGAATTATTTACATAAAGATTTTCATAGTGGTAATATTTTAATAAATAGAAATTATAAAACAAGTATTGCTGATTTTGGGCAATGTCGTGTTACAGAGGAAAGTCAGAATAAAGAGAATGTGATTGGAGTATTACCCTATGTGGCGCCAGAAGTATTGTTTGGTGGTCCGTTTACCAAAGCGGCAGATGTCTATGGATTTGGAATTATAATGTGGGAACTTCTTTCAGGTGAATTGCCTTTTAGCGATAAGAAGCATGGTACTCAACTGGCTATTGAAATATATTACAGCCAGCTACGTCCAGTAATCCCAGATTACGTTCCTAAGCAATGTAAAGAAATAATGGAGAGTTGTTGGAAACATCATCCAGAAGATCGTCCAACTGCAACTAAACTATCCGAATTATTTTATGATTGGTATAAAATCTTAAAAGGTGAATATCCACGATATAATCCAAATTTATTAAAGTCGGAAATTGAAAAAGAATTTAGTATAGAGAAGGAAGAAGAATGGAAAAACCAATTAGCTAAATTGGCAAATTCTTCAATGCCTCTAAAGAAGACATACCAATCATACACTAGCAAACATCTCGATTTTACCAAGATACTTTCGCAGCACTTGCAATCTAGTAAATATAGTAAGTAATTTTACTTTATAAGCAAATCTAAGTGAAAGCTTCGAATGGTGTGAATATCAAAATTCTTTAATTAATTAATAATTTTTTACAGCATTTGATAGCGCTCAGCAAAATCTTGATTTAGCCGACTTCGAACCCGAAGTACAGTAATATAGAAATAAATCATTCTGATAAACTATATTATTATGAAACTTAATTTGATTCTGACTTCGTAACTAACTAATCAAAAATTAATGATGCATTAATTATTAGTAACAATTATATTAATTAGATAAACATTCATAGCTATATTAAAGAAAGTGATCTTAATCTGACTTCTGAGTATAATCTTTAAAAAAACTATTGTCATTATAAGCTATGTCTAGCGTTAGTATTATATATGATGTTTAATAAACTAATTTTGTTGCAAACCGATTTATTTTAACATATATAATTACTCTATCGTTGCCTAATTTCTGTTATGAAAACCCCTTGTCATCCTGTATGCCTTTCCGCATCCAAAGTACCTTCCCCGATCTATAGTGCAATAAATAAAATTGTATTTCATGCTTTTTTCATGTGACTGATTGTCATGTTATGCCGTCACATTCCAGGGCTCACACTATTCAATATTTAACCTTTTGCACATTTAATGCCAAATTTAATATTGTGATTCGGAATTTCGGCGAGTCTGTCGCTAATCTAATCCAACTCTCGCGTAACCTACGGCGGCTAAGTCGAAGAAGGCGTGTTAGGTTTGGCTGGTGGTTTTATCGTAGGTAAGTACTGGTCTCCTCTTGGTGTCTTTTCTTCAACCTATTCTTGTTCTAATTCCTGTCTTCTCTTCTCTACCTCAACCCGGGATTACTCTACATCAAATCGGGGTTGGAACTACTCTTTTACGTTAACGACCATGTCACGTGACTTATGGCGAGCGATCAACAGAGGTTTAGCAATATATGGGCGAACGATTGTGTTAGTGGGATTAACGACATAAACTAGCGTTTTATAAAACTTGTACTTTATTATGGGTCGGATATTTATTGCTATTAGGGTATGTGGGACGATTTTGTTTTTAAGGGAAGATTGTCTTTTCCCCCAAGGCAGAAATGCCCTTTATTTATAATAAACGTTTTATTTACATTTGTAATTAATTTCTTTCGTAAACGCAATATATTCCTTATACTCTATATATTAACTAAATCTAATAAAATGCCGATATTTCATTTAACGAATACGTGACCGAAGTAGCAGAAGTAACATAAGTAACATTTCCGTTACTTTCGCGTGACCTTGGATTGGGTAGGGATCGTCGCCTCGATTCGGGCACTCGTGATCCCCAAAAATCGGTCTCACAATGTAAATATCTAGCATGAACTCTTACAATATAATAGTATTAATGTTCTATTAGAATATTTATTTGTAACTAAATTATAAACTTATTATCTAAAACTTATATGAAAACAATGTTCGGTTAGTTTATTACCACTTTAAAAGAATCTTTTAAGATATGTATAATAAGAAATATATAAATTATTCTTCTTTTCAATAGTGCTTACCTTGTTAAATTATTCCTTTCAACGGTTTTGTTTTTTTCACCCTTTTAGTGACGAAATTTGGGCAGTTTAGTGATCTTATAACCTTCGTAATGCATATTTTTAAACATACCTTTGCTAGGTAAACCGTGTTATGAAAGTTGGCAGATTAAGAAGGATTAAAACAATACTTTATATTACAGTACGAAAGCTTCAAGTTGTTTAGTGAATTATTCATGTTTCATAGAACAGATAAGCTACGTCGGCTTCCTAAAAAAGTATTGTAGAACAATATAAAAAAATCTTTCAATTGTACACCAATTTTGTGTAAAGATATACAGTATATAGGTTAAAAGAATCATTGTCATCATACGTATAAATTTTGAATCCTTTTTTAACTTTTAAATTAATTATGAGTAGTTCAAAAAATTTACATAGAATTTTTATGGAAACATATCATATATCAGGTGTTCTTTCATCTGATCTTGAATCTTGGGCCGATGGCTTTGCAAGATTATTATCTAGAAATAAAGAACTAACGGAGCAAGATAAAAAAATTATTCAAGAATGGTCAATTGAATTTTTTGAGGGTCGAAAAGTGAGAGATAAAGTTGGAAAACAAATAGAATGTTTAGAATGTAATTCAATTAAATATTCAAACATGTATTGCGAAAATTGCATGAGAAAAGCACTTGAAAATCAATTTAATAAATGGACATCAGGAAATGAAATTATTGACAGTTTTATTCAAACATGTCAGTTAGAAACACCTTTTCCAAATTGCATCATAGAATGGATACCATTTGACTTGTTTGAAGATGTAAAATACTTAGCTGAAGGTGGATTTGGTAAAGTTTATACAGCTATACGGACTAGAGGGCCGATTAATAACTGGGATAAAGAAAAAAATTGTTTTACCAGATTTGGAGCTCCTGATGTTGTATTAAAATCTTTTAATAATTCAGAAAAAATCGGAAAAAGTTATTTAAAAGAGGTAATTATCTGATTCATTAATGTTCATAATAAATTATAATAAAATTTTATTCATTGTAGCTAATATAACTTAGGCTCAAAATTATAATAAATTGATAAGAGGACATTTCGCTTCTTGTTGCGGTATAACAAAAAACCCAGATAATAATAAGTATATGATGGTCATGAGGCAAATCCAAGGTGGAAATCTAAGAGAATATTTGAGGAATAATAATTTAATACTTAGTTTAAAACAAAAAATTCGATTTATCAGTGATATAAGCAATTGTATTTGTGAAATGCACAAGTTAAACTTAATACACAAAGATTTACATAGTGGTAATATTTTAATATATGATGATGTAGAGGCCTTTATAACAGATTTGGGAACGTGTGGTCCAGTTGAGGACAAATTATTTGGCACCATTTTTGGCGTTATGCCATATATAGCACCAGAAGTATTTATAAAAAAAAAATTTTCCAAAGAATCAGATATCTATAGTTTTGGCATGTTAATGTGGGAAATTTTTTCTGGATATCCACCATTTGATGAAAATTCGCATGATGTTTGTTTAGCATTAGCAATTTGTGATGGAGTAAGACCACCTATTTTGCCACATATACCCGAATCATTCATAAAATTGATTGAAAAATGTTGGAACAAAAATTCTTATGAAAGACCAGAAAAACTCCGTTATGCCATTAAGGAAGAATATAAAAAGCTTCTTATTAATGAAGAATATCACAATAAAATATTAAATGTATATAACTTAAGATCATATTCAATTCCAGAAACAAATAAATATGCATTTCATACAAGTAGAATATTGGATGAAATTTTAAATGGTAAGCTATTTTATTAGAACTATAATGATAATAGTTATCAGGAAGGCACTGCCTGATAACTGGTTTATTTGGTCAAAGATTTAAAATTGAATTCCTTCAGAATTCAACTTCTTAGGTTGACTTTAAATCATTTGACCAAATATTAAGTTATAAGGCATCTGCATGACTGATAACGGATTTATTCGGTAACTTATGACGATAGTCTGCACAATAGCAATTTACTATTCGCCAACTATGTAATTCTGCTGAATAATAAATTTATTGGGCAGACGAACATAATAAGCTGCTGGATAATTATAATTTATCGCTATCAGACCAATCAGATAGCTTAAGAAAAATTTGAGTTACAAGAATTTTTTCAAAAAGCTATAATTGTTTTGCCTCTTCATAGCTAAGCCTCGTAATTTGATTAATTAATCACAGCAGCAATACATTGCTATTATGATAAATTACATAATATTCAGTTTCTACTAACAATATCTTTGTGAATGGAATTATGCTAACAGTATCTTTTGAATAGAACTACATAAAACAAGAGAATTTGAAATCGATATTTTGTCTAATGATATTACTTTTGAAGACAAAAGTAATAAAATAATTTATGCCGAACGAAGTGATGAATCTATCTAGGAAAATTTTAACTAATCTGTCTAATGTTACAGAAATTTTTGTCATTTTCATATTTCTATTACATTTCTATTTCCATTACATTTCTATTTCCATTAACAAGCATAATAAAGGCTGGGCAAAAAACGATTTCGTCTTGAAGAAATAATTCCTAACAATATTAGTGTGATAAGCAGAAAAAGACAACAAGCTGATATTAATTGTTGAAAAATGTATGAAGTTCTTGTAAAACCCATTACCAAAGTAGACAAACACGATGGTCAAAACACAAGTACAGCTCTATCATATGCAATATGTAGTTGTAAAGCAAATTGTAGCAATTAACGATCTCGCTGTAAAAAAGTAGAAGTAAATGTGTAGTAGGTGCCATGATGGGCGTTCGTGTAATAAAAATCAAGCAATTGCTATGTAATTAATGAAAAGGCTGAATTAGTATATGGAGGGAAAAAAACCATGTGCTTTCTATGTAATTAGTACATGTAGAAATATAAGTATATATTAAATAATTTGAGGTCCAGTGACCTTAAAAAACATTGAGAACATTGTTCGGAAAAATGTACAAAGACACAAATGAACTTGACAAGACTGTCAAAGAAGGAAAAAACAAATTAAAATAATATTGTTATTTATATTTGAAATATACTGGAAATAGAAAATTGAATGAACATATTATCCTAGACTCTGTTACAACATAGACAAAGTCAAAGACAAATTAATGACATTAGAATAGTCTTTGAAAAGTACTAAAAGTGATGTTTCGAATCGATATCAACTATTTTTTTATTAGCAAAAGATTGTGCATTAGATGACATCCAACACATTTTAGGCTATTTGAAGTATTTCAGATATTAATTATGTAAGGTGAAATAATAATTCCATTACTATGTATAGATTTCATGCATAAAATTAGTTAACAAAATCAATGCGTTTTTACTAGTTAATTACTATCAAAAAGTGTTTGAAAAATTGATTCAAAGGATGTACTACTGGGTGTTCGATGTACTACATATATAAATCAAAACTATTTATAAAAAGTCTATTATCAAATTTTTGATCTATGTGTAACCATATTGATTTTTATTTGTATGCATGCATAATATTATTTATTACAGTGTTACATCATATAGTTATTTACATAATTAAAGCTTTAATAATATTTGATTTGACATTAGGTTCAAAGGTTGAAGATCATAGTTCTTGAAGTGGTGAATTTTTTTGATTAGTTCTTGCTTCTTTTTGATTAGTCTTGCTTCTTTAATTCTTCTAGAAAATTTGCTTTATCAACTTTATTTGTAGGTAAACAAAGTTTAGATAGTTTAACTGAAATTAACATGTTATGATATGTTTTTGGTTTAATTTGTTAAAAAGGTCTTTCACTTGTTGCTGATATATAACTAGTGATGGGCAAATCACAATTTTTTAAAAATTCTGTGTAAGATCTATAGAATATAGTAGAGTTTTTTAATTTTTTATGTATTATAAAAATATATATAAAGATTAACTCAAAAACAACTCAATATACCTAAGTTTAATGATATTAATGACTCAGAATAGACAGATACTATACAGGCTAGAATTACATACCAAATTAATACTTTATTTAACCAACAAATCTAATCATATAACAGAATTGCTAAGACATTCTAAACATCAACTGAAATCCAGGATTTTATCAATTATAAACTTGTTATTATACCAACTAAATTTGTAATCCCATCTGTAATACTTCTTAAATTTAGATATCTTAATACTAGGTTCTTTATCATCTTCACCAAAAACCCAAATACTATTTTAGCACATCAGAAATAATATATTAATCTATACAATAATACTTTAGTTACATATAAACAGAGTAATCAAATTACAATTACAAATACAACTACATATAAAACTATCAACTTTATGTTTAAACAAATACTTATTTCACAATATTTCTTTAATATTAATCTTATTTTTTACACTTCCTTCATAATTTACAAAACCATATATTATGCAAGAGACTTCTTACAAATCAAAATAAAAATAAATAAACTTTTAAGAAAATTAGAGTTGTAATTACTAATGCATTTCAAAAAAAACTTATATCACTATCACAAAATTCTAGTGAAATACCAGAACATGTTAAAACAATCTTACTATTTATATTTCAATTATACAAAGATCATATACAAGAGTTACTATCAATGGACTAAGAAAAATTTTTAAGTTTAATAAATTAACTAATAACTATTTCACAAAACTTCCTATATTATCCAAAAGATACCAAGATCTTTTTTCAGAATTACAAATCTATTTTTTTAATATCAAATAGATAATTACTATAATATCTTTTATACTTTAGATGCAAACTTACAAACTACTATATTTTTATTACAATTTCAAATTCTTATTTTCAGCTTTTACTATATAAAAAACTATTGTCTACTACATATTAAAAACTGAACTACAAAGTTAGAGGTCTTTTTTCTTTTAATTCATTTATATCCAAAGTATCATTAATTGAAGCTGTAATATAATTAAGAGAATATTATATATTTAAACTATTTTTTAGTAACTATTTTATTACCAAATCATTCTTGTTAACTAAAACTAAACTTATTATATAGAGTATACTTTATATATTTAATAATTGATAATACAATAGTAAAAATATTTCTTGATAAAATTTTACAATATATCATGTTCAATTCCTATTATCTGATTATATAATATAAATAAATCCTATAGACAAACTAGTTTTACCAACTGACAGTCAAGAACTTTTTAAACTTAATATTATATACTAATCACAATATCCTAACAACTTATTCAAATTGCCAAAACATTTTATAGATATTTTTATTTTAAACAACTGCCAATATTCTGAATTAATATTACAAATTTTCTTATTTAGAACACAGATTAGAGAGACAACACTAATGCTAATAAAACTAATATAACAAAGCAACTACTTTTATCTATACTAGATAATATTAACAATGTTAACTTAGTACTACAGTCATCCCTCCATATAGTCACCTCTCATATAATCACATCATATGTAATCATATTTATGTTTAGGCTAAGTTATGATTTAATTTATAAAAAATAACCCTTTATATAAGCACAACTCCTTTATAAGCATATTTTTTAAAAATATTACTATGTGCCCAACTGTATGATTATATGAAAGGATGACTGTATTACTAAACAATATATAACTTATACTTCCAATAATCTTACAATTACAAATTATATCAACTATACAAATCTTTAAACAACTCTATATAATTAAAACAATTTCCAACTCTTTATTCAACTTACCATTATTGTCTATACCAATTTGAGAAATATTTAACATATCTACAGCATTACCAAACAAGTTACCTACAATAAACATAGTGGCCATAGATATTTTTTAATCATATGTCAACAAACTATTCAAATCAGCATAATAGTGCACAGATACAATTTCATTTAACTATTACAACATATAATATTCAAGGTTATAACAATATTACTAAAAGAAAACTATGACTTAACTATTGTATTAGTCAACAGTTAGACATTATCTTACTTATAAAAACAAAACTAGCACAATCTCAATATATGCACCTTATACTTTACAATAATAATTACAAATGCTTTATGTCAAACAATAATACTATCAACTCAAATTACCTAAGAGAATCAAGTATAAGAATAATAATTCTTATTAAACAATTACTTACAATATATATTCACTATATACAAATTCTTAATAGTACTGCTATAGCTATTGATCTTTATTTATCACATAATAACAACCTTTAAATTATATTTACATATTTACCAGACAACACTAATACTAACAAATAAATACAAAACTAAATTATTTTTTGGATTACACAAGCACAAAACTTAATATTATACTATTAATTATAAAAGCCTTTAACCAAGATCTCAATAGACCATAGCACTTTATCCTGTATAAATACCTTATATTATATAATTTTATTACTCAAATACACACTCATTATCCTAATACTTCAACTTGAAATCAAAACAATCTTTTTAGCCAAATAGATGAAATTTGGATTTCACAACAAATCTTAAACATTGTTACAACTCCTAACCTTATTGACTCAATAGGAATTACAAATAGTGATTATCACATTATTTATATTCATCTTCAAATACAAACCAAACCAACTAAATAATATAAAAAATACAAATACAAAATATTTAAATATAATTCAATAACTAATAAACTATAGAAACATTTTCAACAAAAAAGCTACCAACTATCATTCTTTCTTACTGAAGCAGCAGCTTTGCATTAACAATAAACCAACTTTGATATCAAATTCAATCTACAGTACTTACTGCATCAACACATATATATCTTTTACTTTCTATTTACAAAAACAATTTCAAAACTTTTTATCTATTGCACTGAACTTGTATGATAGTATACTTTATACTCTAATTAATCTCTCATATCCTTTTTATAATAATAATCAAACAAGCACTACAACAATTAACATTATCAATCAAAAAATACAAACCATACAACTTTTTACTAATCTACTTATTATATCTTTTATCTTGGCTGATATTAATCTTAACAAACTCTCTATTACTATAAACATAATAAAAAACTTTTACAAAACACTATATCATACTTGAGATATAAAAAACAAACTGATAATTTTACAACAAATTACTTAATACATTTAAACACATTATAACAACTTTACTTCAAATACAACAATTATGATAAATAGTATAATTAATTATTACACTAATTTAGTGCTGTTTGATAATATAAAACTATATAACTCTATAATTACAGAGCTAAAAAGATTAATCAATATATAAAAAACCATTTTGCAAACTGAACTAAACACAATCTACACAATCTAGCCCTTTAGAAACAATAAAAAAATAAATACAATCCTAAAATCAACATACTTTCAACATAGTATAATACACTATGGCTAGTTTCTGACAAACAAACACTTAAGCAAATTGTCAAAATAGCT